CTTCTGTAAGTAAGTAAACTGATCCTGAGATGAACTTGGCTGCAGCTAGTTACCCAAACTTAAAAACAAAAATAAAGATCAGTAAAGATCATTAAGCCTGAAAGCTTAATTAGCATATTTTGGCAAAAGGAGAAGACTCCTTAGCACAATAGTTGATAACATGGGAAACCTTACACTATCAAACATGTATTATAATTTCTGTATAGTACTGCAAACATGACACGGACACCTGGATTAAGGACACACAAATCCATTTTCGTAAGTGCTAAGCACAACTAATTCCAAAGGAACACCACTGAGGCTCTGTAAAAGCTTGGCAACCTCTTGAAGGAAAAACTATGATATTATTTCATTTTCCTAAAGCAAAGTGAAGGAGCCCACACTTATTAAAATATAGGTAACAGACTAAACACAACATTCTAAGGGTTTCACTCACAGACAGGCTTACTTTACTTTTATAGTCTTACAAATGTAGCTAAACTTGCAGCACTAAAAACATAAATCTATTTTGACTTTGTAAACTAACACTAGAGCACTTGATGAACAATGAAATGAGACAGGAAGAACTTTTACTCCAAGAGACCATACTGTAAGCTCAGGTCAGTGCTATTTCTGCTGGGGAACTCACTACAAGCAGTCCCAAGTGCAGCACACCACTTAAGTCACTGGAAGTTTGTGTTCAAGAAACTGAAATAACATACTTGCAAACAATAAAGCAAGCCTTAAGATTACAAATCATGTGTGAAGAGCTGCAGTACCAAGTATTCCTGATGCAGCAAAATATGGAAACAAAATGTACAGTAACTGCATCTAAGGAGATACGTATCTGAAGTGGAAGGTGCTTGTGACACTGCTGAAAGCCCCCTTGAGAGGGGACCTGCCCCACCCAAAACTGTCAAGCTTTCGTGCTTGAACCCACATTTTCTTTCATCTCCCTTCTTCCTTCCTCAGCAGGACTGCAGTAATTTTTCCAGCTTCTTGTACTGTTTTCCAACACATGCAAGGGAGCCTCACAGAGGGAAGCAGCTCCCTAGCCTGCAGTTCCCCACTCCACACACAAGCTAGGTAAAGACAAGAATAAGGAGACTAGTTTTCATTACGTATTTTAACACTGCTACCCCACTGTTAAATATCCACAGACTGTACTTTTGTCTCTTGGTAAGGGGTAAAAGAGGACTATGATCAATCTTTTCTAAACAGTATTGGGTACATCTTAGCTCAGAACAGACACTGGCCCAGCTCTGTGCATCAGTCATTCTTGGTAGCCCTGGAAGTCCCAAGATCAAGAACTGATGAAAGACACAGGGCCTATATACACTCTATTTCTTCTACTTTTTCCTAAGCAACTTCAGTTCTCCTGTTTGCAACAAGATTCTGGGTAAGACAGATCTTAAGGTTTAAAATTCAGAAATAGTAGCAACTCAGCCTAATAAACACTTTTACACTACCTGGAGAGTAAGAAAGTCATAGATTCCCCCAGGAGTTTCAAAAGCTATCATGTTACTGCAAGCAACAGGAACTGATACTCAACTACATTTGATAGTCCTTTATAGGCAAACAACCTCAAAATCAGTTTCTCACCAGCTTTTTTTGTTAGGGTAGGTACTGCTGTAGGACAATTTAAGTCAAATGCTTTAAGGGTGATTTTCAAGTTAGGCATCCTACCAGCATTTGATCAATGCAGTAAGTTTCAGATTTTTTTTCTCATTTCAGTTAGTCTGAAAATAGATACTTCCTCTTATACAGGCAATATAACAGCAGCCAATGCAGTGCTACTCACCTACCAGCAGTCTAAGACCAAATCCATACTAAATAGATCACCAACAGATAATCATTTTACACAACAAATTTTCTCCTTCAAAGTGTCTCTGTGTTCATAAGGCATTGATGTGTTTTCACTGCTTTAAAGTACTTTGTTTGCTTGAACAATTTCAATGGGTTAGTTAGTTTAAATGCTATTTAATCAGTATTTCTTTCACTTAAACTGAAGTTTTCAAGAAAGTTTTTTGCAACTTATATTATACTGAGATGCATAAATTGTCACATGTATTGTCTGTCCACACATTCACAGTTGCACAAACTACTTCCCATTTATGCCTGTACAGAAGTTAACTAAGGCAACCGCTTACTCAGAGAAATTTCTACATATTTTTAGCTACCGTTGACTGCCATTTGAATTGGTAAAAATATAAAGATGAGACAGTGCTACGTGACAAGCAAATATTGCTGGCAGATCTGTGATACTGAGAACTCTCCTACTAGCAGTATTTTGCCACTCGACTGCTAACAAACATTATGGAGTTATTAGGTTTGGTTTTGCTCTAGGTCAATTAGACCTTCTCTACCCATGCATGATACCATCATACTTACTCTACAAAAGCCCTTACAGTTTAAAACAGATTTAACCTGATTGTTTCTGTATTTCTGAGCACAGCTCCTTTTTAACATTCAGAAGAACTCTCTCAGTTTTGCATCTCAATCAAACTTTCACACATCCAACCAGAAACATGAATCACACTTAGTGCTATTTCGGGGAACATGTACAGCTATAGTGGCAGGGGAAGTGTGCCATCCACCAGATCACACAAACACAGAGGTAATCACAAAGTAACACTAAAACCAGGTAATTTACTAAGTAAATATGTTTTTTTCTTTTTAAAAAACATGTACTGTTTGCTGTCAGGACATTTTTCACTTCTGTCCTGCAGACCAATGCTTGTTAGAACCTCAAAACATTTTCCGCTATAAAGGCCCTAATCTGCATTACAGGTATAACTTGAGAAATGCAACGAGTACTTTTCACCTGTAAGAAAAGGGTATTAATTTCATAATCTTCCCAAACTTACTGTTGAAGTATTGCCAACCCTAAGTGTTCAAAATACATAAAACAGGGACCTACAAAGAATTACAATTTCAAAAGCACTGCAGTTTTGAAATCAAGTGGAAGTGCATTTACGTATTTTTACTTCTCCTTCAGTTGCACTCAGGGTTTTCCTGCTTCATGTTTCATACTTCATTGCACAACTGAAAACCCCTCAACTTTGAAGTATTTTTAACTTAAGAGTTCTGATAATCATAAAATTCACTGATTCCAAGAGTTGGACCTTTGTAAAGAACAGCAAGTTATTACAAAATTACAATAATTACAGATAACATTTTTCAAAGCGTTTAATCAATTTGAGTATTTACAGCATTGTTTTTGTAACCCATTTTTCCTTCTGTTTTATCTCCTGAGTAGTGCCATAAAGTTGAAATGAGGAAGGTGCACAATGTGTCAGGAGGAAAGTGTCCCAAGTAATTTAAATAAACAACCAGCATTAGTATTATTTAAGCCACGCCTGCTGGGGTAGTCAAGTTCCACTAACTGTAGTGGAAATACTGTACAAGTGTACAGAAGTAGCTTGTAATACTGTACATCTGCTTTCCCACCTTTGCCGTACTGTTGAGCGTTTAATTTCATGCATAAGACCTTTAATTTATGATTTAATCCTGTTCCATTTAAGACTAGCCACTTACAGTCTATACAGAGCAGCAGCCTCTTTAAAAAACCCTGCACACTAAAAGGTATAAATAATTTTAAAGTATTATTCAGTAAGAATGGGCAGGACTAATACCTTGCTGAGTAAATACACCTTGTTGAAGTGTACATTTGTCACAGCAAGCTATGCAGTTAGAAGTCTTTAGCCTAACATATGCAGTTAACTGCAACACTTCAACATTTTTTATTAAAAATGGTTGAGACGAATGTCACTAAAATTTGCCACTGGGTTTTTGACCCTTCTTCCTCTACCAGATGCTCATCCTGTAATTCTTGTGTTTATCTGCAGATTGCACCTATATTACATGCTACTGTCTGCAGATTTAAGAGTGAATTTACTGTCCATCTAATAGGCTGTATTTTCTAAACACATACATATACAAAGGCACATACACACAAACAGATAAAATACACTAACTTCAGTGTCTAAGGATTTACAGTTTAGTGTTTAATGCAAGTAGCATACAGCCAGTGATACTAGTTACTCTAAATCAAAACATAATGTTGACACAATTCAAGAGGAGCAGAAGCAGAAATGAAAAAGGAAATGAACAAGAATACTTCACAAACCAGAAAGCAAATGCAGAGTTAGTGGCACACTGACAAGAGCAACTGTGGCCTGTTCTCTGGATATCTACAGTTCAGCAGATAGGTAATAAACACAAAAATTAATACTAAAGATTCAAGAACAATGTTTGAAATTGCAACACAGCTATTAGAACACAAGATTCACTTGGCACAGTTATACAAAAAAAAAAAAAAGCAAACAACAGAGACACAAAATCCACAAACAAGCAACAAAAAAAAAAAACCAGCACCCAACTACTACTGAATAGTGACAATTCAGCTACTGAACCTGCACTGCCTGCCTGCAAGAATGTTCATTCCACACATAACATTTACACACTGAAATTCATTGCATATGATAACTTTTATAAGCAATTATATAATAGCACAGGTTTTATTTCACAATTTAAATAAATTCAAGTTGCATTGACAGGTACTATAGATCAATAAAAAGATTCTATTTTTCTAAATAGCTAGATTTTGTTCCCTTTTGCCCTTTGACTCTTTAATATGCAACAAGAAGTATTTCATAATTCTTAAATATCACTGTAATGAGTACGTTTAAAAATCATCACTTCCATCATAAATTGGGCACCACCTTTATTCAATACCACTAAAATGCATGCATAGTAAGACAGATAAATCAAGCAAAAAAATGAATTCACAAGCCCTTTTTCTATCTCAAAAAGGAGGGGAGCCCCCATCAATATAAAAACAACAAATCCGGTGGTGTAATACTATTATAAGCCTCAAAACCTGGCCATAGGGAATCTCCAATTATTTTAGCTATAAGCCGAACACCCAAGCTACAAGAACCAAGACATCGTTAACGTAAAATAGTTGTTATTACGAAGACGGCATCACAAGATCAGAGCCCAATTCAGACATTTTGTACCTTGCTGCTGGGTAGTGTTACTGGAAGCATCAGCCTAATAGCCGGTTTATTCATAAGGCACGCACTAAAATGAAACAAACAGTAATTAACTGCTGACAGTGACCTAGTTAGCTACACAAGGAGCTAGATCTTCCTGTCACTCATTACAGGTTCGCCGGAATCCGACAGGAACGGTCCCGTCCGCCTGGGCTGCGCGGGCGGCCGAGAGCGGGGAGCAGCGCCTCCCGCCCAGGCAGCCCCAGGCTCCCGCGCCCGCCGCGGCCCCCCGGGCCCTGCGCCGCCGGCTGCTCCCCCAGCCTCCTGCCTCCGAAGCCCTCAGGTCCCCGCGGGCAGGGCCCCAACGAGCGGCGGAGCCGGCGTAGGCAACGCCAAGACCGCCTGCCTTCGGGTTCCCCTCCCCCGCTCCGGCAGCTCCGCACTGGGATAACGCAGCCTCTGACTCGCTCGCTGCTCGCGTCCCCCTTCACCTCCCTCTTCTCCCTCCCCCAACGCGCACACTTGATAGAAAGTCTCCTCTCGGCGGCGGGAGGGCGGTGAAATCCTTCGCTCTCCTCCCTCCGTTCTCTGTAACGCGAACGAGCCGCCGCCTTCTGTTCCTCAGCCTTGGCCAAGTCGGCGTTTTGTTGACAAGGCTCTGCCGGGCACAAAATGGGGCTGCCGCTTCCATGGGCGCCGCCATTTTGTGAGGAGCCGCCGCGCTAAGCCGGAGCCGGAGCCGCAGCCGCAGCCTCAGTAGCGGCGGCCCCCGGCAGCCCAGGCGCGCCGGAGCGGCGGCCGGGGTCTGTGTAATGGTTGAATAAAGTGACCCCGTCTAGGGAATCCCCAGCTGACAGTTACGTAAGGGACCGTGCGCAATTGCTGCGCTTAGCATGGAAACCCACCTAGCCCTGCTACGCAATTTGCCTATCCTCCCCTCTGCCTCCCACTCCCCTTCACACAGCACCCGGGCGAGAAAAGGGACTCACCTCCGCCGACCGCCCCTCGCGGAGGGAGGGAGACCCCCCTGCTCTGAAGGAATTTTTAGGGCATGATTAAAAACCACCGCCCTCCTGCGAAGGTTTAAGTCTGTGTAGGTATACGTGTGTGTGTGTGTGTGTGTGTCTGAAAGAGCGATTTACCCCCTCAATCGCATGTTTAAAACCTTTCTCGTTGATATTATCCTGGCTTTGGGAGTCTGACACATACTCTTGCTGAAATAGCAGAAACTCAAGAGTGTCACGGACAGGAGCTGCAGACCAGGGTCTACTGCAGGTCTAATTTTTAGGGGGAGGGGGGCCTCTTAATGCTACAGTGAGTAAGACACTCCGCATTTTCTTACACTGGAATCTGCACACGACCACCCTATCCACACACAGAGAACAACTTTGAACACAGAGTGTTAATATGAAACCGGGGGATTGTTCTTCCTTGTCCTCCCCCTTCCCCCAAAGTGTGAACCCAGGGCAAATCTTTCCAAGCATCTTACTAAATCTCATGTCTTTATGGCTATATTCAAGCTGAAACAGCATTCGAGCCAGAATAATTTTTCTTTTTGAGAAAAATTATTTTTGAACTTAGTACATGGAGTAGAAATCACAGTTTTTCTTCAAGTACTCACTTGGGGCCATAACGTGCCATTGATTTTAAAACACAGCTCCTTGCTGACTTTAATGAGGAGTCCAAGTTAAAAAAAAAATAACACAACCCAACTCTAAAGGCCTGATGTGGCCTTGGACTTCAGCTATCGGTTGTGAGGGGCAAATATTCCTCCAGAGCCTCTTGAACCAGAGCAGGCGCTCATCTGCAGCTGTCTGTGTGCCAGGGAAGGGCAAATGCCCACCTGGGTCACCATGAGCTTTGCCTGAGGAGCAAAGGTTCACCAGAAGTTGCCATTCACTGCTCGGGCCTTTCTCCTGTTTACCCCAAGCAGCACTGGTCTCCCTCATGGTTGTCGTGCAGGTCTTCTCCTGGGCTTCCCTGGGTGGAAAACGTGTCAGGAGATGAAAGTTTACAAACACTGCACACACCACAGGCACAGGGGAAAGCAGCCTGCAGCGTCCCTCCAGAGTGAGGGGCCAAGGCCTTCCTCCTCCATTGACTTCATACTGTATGTCCTATTTATCAATATACAGGAACATATAGGTGGCTTAGACTGTGTACAGCAGTCCTAAAGCTCTTTGATTACAGGCCACAGTATCTCTGAGGGAACGAAGGAAAATAAACATGTATGGAGGGATCCAAAGCGCAGGCCGCTGCTGGCAGACCTCTCCAGGCCCCCTTTGCCGGGGAAAGAGCTCGCCATTCTCCTCTGGGGAGGTTTCAACACCTCCCGTCCCGAAACGAGGAGTTCCCGCGGCCCCTCCGGCCCAGCAGGAGGCCCCGCCGTGCCATCCGGGGCGACTTCCTGCCCTTGGAAACACCTCAGGCCCGGGCACTCGGAAAGTTTTCCCAAACTCCAAATCCACCAGTGCCCCCTTCAGTTGTTGTTTTCTCTCCCCTTGAACTCAGGGCGTGGGGCTTAGTCCAATTAAAAATTTCGGCCCCGCTTTCCAAATCCACCTTTCCTGCCCTCCCCCCCCTACGGCTTCCCCCCCCCCCCCCCACCGCCGCCAGCCAACGGAGAGAGGCTGATCGGCGCGAGCCTGGCGAGGGAGGGCCCTTTCCCCGGCCCCGAGCCCCGGAACAACCGGTAGTAGTCGTTTTTTTCCTCCCCTCTTCTCCTTCTCCCTCGCCTCTTTCCGCCCGGCTTTGTGTGAAGTTTGCGGCACATTGCAGATGAGCCCTTAGCGGCGAGAGGAGCCTATTGTTCCCCGCCAGGAACTGCTTGCTGGGGCTGCGCTGGCTTTTGCCTTTAGAGCTGCCTTGTGCAGTACCGGGAGCGGCCTCCGGGGTCCGCTGTGTTGCGCTCTCGTCCAGGCAGAAGCACGGCGGCCTCAGATCTTTTTGTCTGAGAGAGAAGAGAAGTGAATCCCGCTGCCGCCGCCACCGCCGCCGCCGCCGCTGCCGTAGCTGTACAGTGTGTGTGTGAGAGAGAGCGAGCGAGGGAGCGAGCGAGCGAGGGAGGGAGAGGGAGATCGCATGGAGCCGCGGCTGTAACACACACACACTGTCAATACCTCACTCCGGCTCCCCCCCCCACCCCACCACAACAGTAACCCAATTCATTGTGTGATCCAGCAGCACCATGTTGAGTCTCATGTGCAGGCTGGATCGGTTGGGTTTGTGGTGCTGAGAGAGGCAGCAGCAGCGGGAGGAGGAATTACTGAGAGGTGCCCCTCTCCCTCCCTGCCTCTTTGCCTGTGTGTTGTGTGGAGACAGGACTCGCAATTACCACACTCTCTGGGCTCCCTTATTCCTTTTAAACTTTTTTTTTAACCAAGCCCCTCTCCATGGCTGATCCCCGGCCGAGCACGGGCACCTGGGTCTCTTAAAGACAAGGAGGAGCCGCGGATTGTTGTTGTTGTCGGCCGTTTTTTTTTTTTTTTTTAAATTGGATTTTATTTTTTTTTTTACGAGAACCTTTTTTATTACAAAAATGGCAAATTCGACGGGTAAAAACCACGCAGACCAGCGGAGAAAGGGACTCGCTTTCCTGGACGAGCTGCGGCAGTTTCACCACAGCAGAGGGTGAGGAAAATGGGGAGATGGAACGGGAGGGGGGGAGGCTTTTAAACCGACCAGATCCAACTTCCAGCCCCTTCCCTGAAGGACACGGCAGCCCCAGCGAGGGGAGAAAAGGGGGCAGAGCTGACAAGTTGTGGTGTTTTGTGTGTATCTCCTCTGGCAGGTCTCCTTTTAAGAAGATCCCCGTGGTGGGTGGGAAGGAGCTGGATCTTCACGCTCTCTACACCAGAGTCACCACTTTAGGCGGATTTGGGAAGGTGAGTGGAAGTTTTAATTTGGGTTTCCCTCCCACTAACCTCTTCCTAAAAGTCTTCTCTGACCCCCGGGGGCGGCGGGGGGAGCCGGGGTGGCCGGGAACCGTCCTATTTAAAGGCGGTTAGAGAAGGTGGGGGGGTGGAAGAAGGAAGCGAGCAGATAGGTTGGTGGCTTGGCCTTGTCGGCGGAGCGATGAAGGGGGATCGGGGGTACGGCGCACACCCCGCTCCTGCCTCCGCCGGAGCCCCTCGCCCCTGCCCCCCTTCCCCAGGAGGAGGTGACTGGGGAACAGAGGGCTCCGGTCGGCGGAAGGCAGTTTCTTTTGCTTGTGGTGGCAGCTCTGTGTGTTTCCCTCTCACAGAGGGAGAGGCAGAGAGGAGAGAGTCTGAGTGCAGTTTTAGTGCAACTCAAAATTAGCGGGCATGTTTAACATCGATAATCGGCACGGAGCATGGGCTAGGAAACGATCCTCGCAGCCGGGGGGGGCCGGGCGCTGCCCTCCGAGCCCTTCCCGGGGAAAAATAACAAAAGGGGCACCCAAGACGGTGTGTAATCAAATAGCCATCTTTAGGCTTCAAGGCTAGGGACAGAAATGTAGGCCTCAAAAGAAAGGCCTGCCTGTGTGTGTGTTTGTGTGCTGGGGGGACCCCCCGGGCCGGCTCCCCCGCGCCCCGCGGGCCAGGGGGCGCCCCCGCCACCGCTTCCCCGCAGCATTTTAAACTTCTTCGGGTTTTTAACGGACCGCGGCAGGATTTAAAAGGGGGCGACAGAGGGACTCCCGATTGGTTATTGTCCAGGCAGTAAAAACAAAAACAAACAAACCCCAAAACAATACGAACCCTCCCGGCCGCCCCCCCCCACCTTCCCGGAAAAAATCATGCGTATATTAAAAAATAAATACAGCAAAATGCCGCTGAGAAACGGGATTATTCCCGAAGGGGGAACACCACCGACTGTAAGTAAAATATGTAGTCTTAAATCCCATATACATTCCTGTTTAGTTATTTTATATTTTTATCTATTTGCTTCATGGCAGCTTGTGGGTTTTTTGTGATGTTCGGTGTCAACGACATGTTTATGTGTACGTTGTGTATCTCGGCCTGTATGTGTTGTTTTTGACAGGTATCAGAGAAGAATCAGTGGGGAGAAATTGTAGAGGAGTTTAACTTTCCCAGAAGTTGTTCTAACGCTGCCTTCGCTTTAAAACAGTATTACTTGCGGTGAGTGCTATCAGGCTGTTGCAGTAGTATTTTTGAGTGTGGGATTATATTTGGGTTCCAGTGTCTGAATAAAAATAACCCTGCTCTTTAAAAATGCTGTAAAATAAAGCAGAAAGAACTTGTAATTCCTTACTGGTCTGGTGCAGAGATAAGTTAAATAGATAAGTTGTAGATATTTTATTTTGTATTTTACATCTAACTTTGTAGGGATCCCAAGTGTATAAACAGTATATATGTCAGAGCCATTTTTATTGATTGTTTTAGAATCACGGTACTAAAGGACTTACTGAGACCAGGTTATTGTAGTTGCAGAAACTTAGCTTAATTTTTGGAGCACTGAAATGTGTTGATACATGTGAACTTGTTTACTGCTCAGTGGGGTCAGACATTGAATGGAAATATATCTGCAGGAAGGTGGACTGCTTTGGAGAAATTATATTGTTATCAATTACTAGCAGCCTACATTATATTTTAGAATATAAAGAGCTAACTGATTTTTCTGCTACTTGAAAAATACTAGATTTTTTCAGGTTTTAAAACAAGATTCCATTCCTTGAAATGATACAGGCTGTTTTGTGATGCAGATTATTTTTTAATGTAGCATGGAGTTCATACTGAGTATTTTAAATTACTGTGTGTGGTGCTGTTCAGTTACTAGATGGCCTTTAAAAAAACAATTTTTATGAACTTTTGCTGATTATTCTTTGTGTGAAAGATTTTAAAATTATTTTGTGTATAATGTTTTAGGTGCTATATATAGACAAATATATTTCATTTAGAATAAAGTTTTATGTACACTGGTTAAGGAATGTAATTTTCTGAATTATATGAATGATATTTTTTCATTGCAATTAATGATAATATAGATGTGCAGTATGTACAAAAGAAGTATGGGCTTTTGGTGATCTGTTTGGTGATCTGAGTACACACAAGCTTTATCTGTCTCTAGTTTGGCCTTCTGAATTAGGAAATGTGGTAATTGTACAGGTGCACTTTCTATTGGTTGTCCTAGATTGACTTCCAGCTTGAAGCTGTAGAGTTCATAGCACAGTGGAGCACTTATTAAGTTACAGTGATGTCTGGAAAACCTTAGGCAGATATCTGTAGTTACTGAATTTTTCTTTTTTTTGGTGCTGATAGATGATTGCTTTTAAGATTCAGACGAAGAAAAGAAATTGCCATTGTTAATAGCTTCAGTAAAGTTTATGATTGGTAGCAGGCCTAGGGATGAAGTGGGAAGCTCCACTTTAGGATGTCCTTCTCTGACTTTTTTTTTTTTTTTAAAACTCTCTACTACATAGCACTGAAGTACTGAGATAAGTGTTGCTGGAGATTTGTGAGATCATAGAAACCAGTTTTTTGCTTTTTGAGTTTTTCTTTTTGACTGTGTAGTCTAGTACTTGACTAGATTTTACATACAATTTGCAAAGTGATAGTTTTTTGGGGTTTTACCTTTTCCTTTATATTTCCATATGTTATAAGTGCTTGAATGGCCTAACTTTTTGCAGTAGAAGGTTGTATGTCACTTGTATTTTCATCTGTATTTTGAAAGCATTTATATGCTGTGACAGTTAACACAACTAATTTAGCCTTCTAATGACTATTAATTTTTAATAGGAGACTATTTTTTAATTTAGAATCAGACATACAAAAACGTTATTAGCATGAGCATGCTAGTACTGACATCATTTAACACACAGTTGATGCAGATATATAAAAATGATAACATACAAATAATTGAAGGTTTTTTTATTTACTTGGAATTTAGAAAATTGATAAACAGTTAAGATGAAGAATCTTTTTAAAATGTCTTATTGTAATCTCTGTGATTTACTTAAGCCATTCTG